CTGAGGACAGGGATGGTGCCTTAGGGCATCCTGCTTCCATCTCTGTGGTTATTCTTAGACTGGTGGTGATGCACAGGTTTTGGATATGCCTTTTGACCCCTTTAGGAGATTACAAGCTTCAGTGTCTCAGGCTTTACCCCTCTCTCCTGGCCCTCACCATTTACTCCGTGAACACCTAGGATTAACTTTACATCCTTTGAAGTACTTGTTGGTTTTCTAACATATTACAGAGTTTTGATGTTAACTTCTGGATAGTAAATTATTGGCACTGAGTGGTATTCTCTGTTAATGAAACTGTAGGTTTGATTTTTCATTAGGGGCCTTTTAAATTGGAGGATTCTGTGAGCTGGATGGGTCTCTTCTGTGGTTTCAGTTTTCTACTCATAAGCTTTTCAGGGCTTATCCCGAATGCATTTATGACTCCAGTGCAAGCTGAAGAGGCTGAAGCTCATGCCCATAGAGATTTTATGCACCAAATTCAGACAGTTTTAAAGCTACACTTAGATTGTAAAAGCCTAATCAGCAAAAGAGACGTGTGTGGATTTTGCTTGTACGCCATGCAGAAACTGTGCTGATAGTCAGCTGCTAGCTCGTGTGTATTGTGTTCCTGTGACAGCCTTGCTGCTGATCCATCTGCCAGGGACTTAAATGAGCACTGTGAGCCAGATAACACTGAAAAGGAAAGCTCTGCTGGCCTCAGGCCGAGCAGAGAAATGCTGTGCTCTGCAACTCTGCAAGGGATTTAAAGGCTCTGACCTAGTCTGTAAGTCAGAATTTATCCCAGTGAGGGGGAGGGCTTTCCCCTGTCTCCCCTGGGATAAGGCAGGCTTAGCCTTCCTTTGAATTTGGGGAGGGGAAGTGTCTTGTAAGGTTAGTTGAGGTAAGCCCTTAAGGTGTAACCTTCTCTGGCTTTGCTTTGACTGCTAGCAGTGAAAGACTACGTCTGTATGGGGAAGTGCAGTTGCATTCTTGCAAATTCCCTGTCTTGTACATAGCCTGTTTGTGGTGCTGTTGGGGAAGGAGTGACTAACAGTCCCTGTCTCTGCAGCCTGAGTCATCCTGTGATCTCTGGCTGGCGTCTCTGGCTAAGTGGGCCATGCAGGCAGATACGGCACTTCATCCTTCTCGCTTGAATCATTGCCTAAGACTGTATCAGGGGTTTTAGGAGCCAGCAGAGGAGCAGTCTATGTGGGAAAGCAGCCATGAGAGACAGTTGACCGGCTCAAGCTTGGTGTAGAGTTAAGGCACAGCATTACCAGTATCCTGAGTGTGTAGTCTTAAAGGCTTCTTGGTGCTTCTGATGCGTGGGCATGTGGAAGATGATCAGTCAGTTGGTCAGTACTGCAACAAACTAAGATACTAATTCTGTTGTAAAGTGTTTTGTGTCCCAGTGCATCATACTAACTGCTGAGCTGCAGCTGTCCATGGCCAGTTGTAGCTGAGGTCACTACGTAAATGCAATAGAATAGGGACAGCACTTTCAGCGTAGGAAAACAGGTGAACTGCTGGGTATAACACAAAGTTTTGTTCAACATTCTCCAAGCATCGCTCTTTGTGTTGGAAGGGTTTCTTCAATAAACAGAATGTAGTGGAAGAGCTGTTTTTGAGGGTCGTAAGAGTGGCGCTAGTCATCTTGAGACAAGAGCTAAATAAACCAGCCTTTGCAACAGACATGAATTTTCTTTATCATTTGCAGCTTGGTGCCTCAGAGAGAAAATAACCTCAGTATAACAAGGAGGCTACTACAAACAGAAGCGCAGCAGGAGCTGCTTAGCTCACTAGATATTTAAAAATGAAATGCACATTTTTTTATTCTTGTATTAATACACTGTAGTTGCTTTACAGAGTCCAGCATATCAGTTGCATGTAAATACTACAGATGAACTTGCCAAACTGGAGCTCACAAAACTAGTGCATTTTTCCCAAAGCAGAGACTAAACCCTCTAACTCCTTAAAAAAATACATTAAAGAACGTACCACACACACACATATTGCACTTTTCTCCATATGAAATTTTTACCCCATATACATCACACCAAAGTCTCTTCAAAGGAGTCTGTAATACAAGATAATGAAGCTAATTATTACTCTACCAGTAGTGTACACAGTTCTCTAATGTTAGACATAACAGATTTAAACAAAAGCTCCACTTCAGAGTAGTACAAAGTGGTGCCCAATGGATACTCTGCTGTATTAGAAGGCATTAGAAGCCTTCTAATTTTAATTGGCTTAAAGGAAATTACATGAAATGTTAAATAGCCTTTTGATTGAGGGACAGAGTCAGTCTAAACTACATCAACACTGTAGTTTCCTCCTTGCAAGCACTGCAAAGCTCAAACAAGCTTAGACTAGTTGGCACATCCTGATAAATGAATTACAGAACTCAAGAAGAGAATTTTTTTTGTCTTAGAGTCCTAAGATGTACAGTATCCTGCAGCTGGATGGGAAAGAAAGTGGTTATAATTACGGCAATAATGCAGCTCCTGGAGCAGAACTGGGCCTGTCTCCACAGGTGGTGTGTCCTGTTAGCAGTTTTCAACACAGTTCCTTGAGTGTTTGGTAAGATACTAAAATTCCAGAAAGTGTTTCTTATGCTGTGGGGTAGGGAAGAAGGAATGAAGAGACAGGACTGTGTTGTCTCTTCTTTTGCAGTAGTGAAATGCCTGGTCTGTTACGCTGCAGTATTTGTCAAGCTGTTTCCCTTCCCTTTGTTAGTCACTTAAGGTGTCACAGGGGTTTCTGTGTTCTGTAGCTATTTACTGTGCAGACAAGAAGGGAAACCACACAAGAAAGACTTTTTCTATCTCAGCTACTTAAACTAGAGCTTTCTAGCCCTCTATCTTGCATCACACAAGTAGTGTATGGATGTGATCCCTGTTCTTTCAACTCTCCTTTGCTGATGCCTAGAGGATCACTGTGATATCAGAGGTAGACGCTGAGCACTTACAAAGTGAGTCTGGCTACACAACTGGACCAGTTGTTGATCAGAACGGGCTACACAGCAACAAGAGCTGCCTCACTAATTGTAGTATACAGGAAGCAAGGTGCCTTCTGTCAGTTGTTAGCCTCTTCCCTCCTCCACACAGCCCTACTGTTCCATGTTTACATGCAGTCTTATTGCTGTAAATGCTGGCTGTTTATCCACCTTTCTAGTAAAGGAGAAGAGCAGCTTTCAGAACTCCTTCTCCTAGCTTGGTAGGATGTGTGATTTGAAAAACATGGAAGAACCAACAAACCAGAAGAACTTTTTTTTGTTTGTTTCTTCCCTCAGCTTCCTGTTCAGCCCATTCAAAATGTAAGTGACCACATGCCCTGAATACCCAAACTGAGTTTGGTGACTACACCCTCGTTATTTGTAGTATCAAAGACCTCAGCTCAGCAAACTTTCCAGCAAACAGCGGTGTTTTCTACATATGTGATCAGCACAGTTTCTCTGCTGTTCTTTGTGCTTTAATGAATCTGCAATTGTACTTAATGTTTGCTCAGAAAAGGGCTGAACTATCTAGCTGTGGGCCTTGTTTGTCTATCGTCCTGTAGTGTCCCACAATACTTACAAGGCTAGAGACAAAACCTAAACTAGATATAAACTTTCTGCAGACTCCTAAAGAATCCTCCTATGACTTGCTTTTTGAGGCTGAAAGTTCTGGAGACAACTGTTTGTTTAGTATTTCTTGAAATGGTTGATACATCAACAGTTTGTGATGCTAAATATTGCTGTAATACTTTCAACATTACATATACATGAGCAATCAAAACAGTGCGAAAGTTAAACATTATGTTCCACATGGTGGAACGTGTGCTCTGAAGCGACTTTGGCTACAGCAAGGATATACATGGGGTATTGTCTACTTTCTTCAGAAAAAAGCATATAGGCTGATAAAGAACTGAAAAAGGCACAGCACTATCACTTCACAGGGGTTTTTTTTAAGCTCATTGTTTGTATCCTTAAGTTCTAAAACCCTAAATAATTGTCCAAATATACAAAGCTCAATAAACCACCAGCAACACATACTGCAAATTCGAAACACAGTTTGTTTGCTTGTTTTTCAAATGCAACAGAAGGACAGATGGATCCTTTCCAGTGATCGGAACCTCTCCAAGACACAGCCCTCCACAAAGGCCTGCCTGCAAAAAGGGTTGATTTCAAAAGCCACTCAGGTGGATTTCTTTATTTTTAATGCCATTGGCTGCAGCTCTTGATTTTTCTGATGGTACAACTTACCTTCTGTCTCTGTTAGCTAATCCTTTAGCACTCTGATCCCCACCCAGAGGTCTCTACAAACCACTGTGGTGCCCTGTGTCAGTTCCAAGTATCTTTTGACGAAGTCAAGATGGCACTTAGCAGAGATGCAGAAGCTTCCCTTAGCGGACAATTGAGAGTTCACTGGCAGGCTCGTTTACTTGCTAGCAGGAGGAAGTGGAGGCTGCCTGAGATGCCTGGTGAGCTCAGACTTACCATGGAGCAGTTCCTAATCAGTTAACCAGCAACTGGATGCCAAAGTGCAACTTTCCTTTAATTCTACCTCACGCTACTGTTTCAAGAGTATTTCAGTTGCCATCAGCGCAGACCCAAATCTACCCTGAATTTCAATTAAAACTATTGCTTTTATTGCCAAGAAGTACAATACAATGTGCACTTATTCTTGTTCTCCAAGTGAATGTTAGATGAATGCTGACAAACTCCTCAATTTTTTTAGAAGGGGCAATTTCCCACCTCTAAAACTCACTTTTTTGCCTCCTTCTATGCAAACTACTTCTCTGTGGGATGAAACTGCACTGTCTGTTCTCTAGCTCCTGCCACCATGGTGCAAGAGGAGCTAGTGGCCAAACACTTCTTGCCACCTCCTGCTTTTTTTCCCAGTCAGGTGGATTTTTAGTTCCCTTGTAAATTCAAGGGATGAAAAAATAACCATGAACTTTGGGGTAGGAAGAAAAAACAAAAATTCACATGCTTCTCCATTTGTTCTGTCTTCCACTCTCATGTTAGTCACCCCACGGCATTAATTCACCAGGACATAGCCACTGTGCTGAGGATCTACAGTCTCCATCATTTCACAATCAAAGAGTCCAGGCAATTCCGAGAGGGTTAACGTATCATAGTTTGACTGGGACTCGGGAGATGCTGAGCTGCTCTGGCTGTCAGGCAATGCTACACCGCTCTGTTGTGCTGGGTCCATGGAATACTGGCACTGGTCTGGGTAGTCTGGCTCAGAAGAGGCGACAACAGGCAATTCACGAGTCTGATATGAATATTGTAAGGACTGTGGCGGCTGCTGCACCTGAACTGGTGATGACAACCGTGATGAGCTGGTGATCTGGGAGGGTGGCAGTGGATCCAGCTGTACCTTCTGGTATTGACTGAGGAAGGGGTCATATTGCATTTGTTCTGAGGAAGGCTCCATCACAGGGCACAGAGGCTGCTGCAAGCTGAACTGGGTTGATTGCTGCTGCTGCTGCTGCTGTTGCTGCTGCTGCTCCTCCTGGCATGAAAGTGGCACTTGACTTGACCTTGGGTATGAGCTCTCAGCTATTTGCATCTGGTTAAAATAGGCCTGCAGCTGGGACTGCTTCTGGAGAAAGAGTCTCTTCTGATGCAGCCTGAATCAAGGACATAAAGAACAGTTATATTCGCCTCTTGAAGTGTTAGGGCACTAGCATGAGTCCTGCATACTAGTCACTTAAACAGGGAGTTCAGCACGGAGTGAAGTACAGAACTGGAAAACTCCCAGGCAATCGTGTTTATTTACATTTTACAGCAGGCCAGAATATTCACCTTTCAGCCTATGTGCAGAGGCTAAGTTTGCAGACCTTCTTTTGAGGGTGAAATTAAGTACAACAATGTAAGTAGGAGCGTCGTTTCCTACTATGCTTCCATACGCCCATTAACACTAAATAAAGCACGCACGTATGTGCGGTTTACCTGCACCCTAGCAGTGTTAGCTGATAATGAGCTCATACCACAGAAGTTTGTAAACTCATGGCAGGACTGTTGTCTCTCTTTTAAAAGGGGAATAATATCCCTACAGATTTTAAAGTGAAGCTTTCCTTTTCCAAAGAATCCCTAAATGGGCAATGACTGTTGCAGGTTTTTTATTTTTCTTGAGAGTAAGAATAAGTGACTTATGTGCATAGTTTGGAAGCTTCTTACCTGTGTTCCTGTAACTGCTGTTCCAGACTCCGGGGCAATTCTTTGCAGTACAGCTGGCAAGTATTCTGAGCTTTTGATAGAAGAGTGGGCTTCTGCAAGAAAAGCAGTGCTGTTTTAAACTGCATTTGATTTAATGCATTAGTCCAGACAGCGAGTGAAAGAAAATTGTCTGCTCTTATGACAGTGTACCTGCCCAACTCCACGCTACTATCCAAAACCAAAGTGACTATTGCTTATTGGCTTCTAACCCTTAGACAAGGAATATCCTTTGATATTCTTATAGATGATAGGCTATACCATAAAAATCCATAGAAAGATTTCTTCAAGTGAAAGACAAGCTGGATTTTTTTTTTAATAAACTAAAGCTGTATGATTTTATTTTTTTTCCTTAAAAAAAGGGGGGTGGAAAACAGTAAGCCCCAGGGGGTCAGAAGTGGCTCCTCAGATGCTGATGCACAGCCGTTATGGGATGCAGTACAGATAACAGGATTCACTAGCAGTTACTTCAAATTGCTTTAATAACACTATATAGCAGCAGCTTGAGTAGGAGAACAGCAGGATTATAGTAAACTTTTTGCATAATTAGGGTCAGTGTCTGACAAAAAGGAAGTACAGCATAATTTCAGATTCAGCTGTTCTTTGCTAACTTAGTCTTTGATTCTCCTGAGTAATAAAATCTAAAAGGTTAGTCTGCTGTGTGGTAACAGCAGTTGGTTTAATTCAGTGGAGTGGAGGTAAGGTACCTGGAGCCTGTGTTGTAAGTACTGTGTTTCTAAGCTCTGCCGTCTGGATAATAATGGGGGATGTGCACCATTAGGGAAAGCAGATGCAGCTTCCTGCTGCTGCTGAGATGCTTCCTCCTGCAGAGAGAAGAGGAACAAGTTTCATCCCCAGAAAAGGCTTTTCTGCCTCAACTCTTTCTTCAAGGATTTCCCCTGAGAGAGGTTTTGTAGTTGCCATGTAGACTTGTCTCTGGGGTCACTCACCACTTTCACTGCATGGCGAGGAGCCTAAATTACAAACTTTTGAGCTGTACGTGCTGCAAAATGGCAGGAGCTTACATCTGTAGCTAAAATGATATTATGTATAATGCATTTTCTGACTTGCCCTCTGAAATTTTAAGTGTGCAGGATTAGAAAGCTATCCAAACTCTGAATGTGCTTTTGTGCAGCTCTCATTTCACAGCTTCAAAATGGAAAACTAAAAGGCTTTCAATAGTGGTGGAGAGGATATGCACGGAGTAGGCACCTCTGGCAAGCTGGAAAGTGCTGACATGGGGCAGTATACCATAAACACTGCAGCATGCTCACATCAAGTGAGACATTCTTGGGAAAACATGACAGCTTTGTGGCTGTCAGAACTGAAGTCTTCCAGCAGTCAGAATGTAACAGCTGGAGCTTTAAGAATAGCAGGTTCATCTGGAACATTAGGTGCTTACAGTGCCTGTGTACTTCTTCATTTTACTCCTGGGGTTTAACAGAAACTTATTCCTGTTTGCTGTTTCAAATGGAACAGATCACAAGTAACCACGGAGCTGGTAGAAGCTATTTAGCATTTCACCTCGTAAATCAGTCTATCCGTTATCACTCAGCTTTTGCACTTCTTACAATTGGACCAGACCAGCTCCAACAGGGCAAGATATTACTGGGGTTTATTAAATCCAAAACATCCATCAGATTAAAAGCAGTAATAAAATGTTGGATTCAGAAACAAGGCCATCTCACAGACACCGTGAGGATGATAAAGGCTAGCCTGCAAATGCCTGTTCTCTATTCTGCACAAGATGAAAAGGAGAAGAGGTAATTTTATGTGTAAATTAACTCTTCTCAGATCTCCAGAACACATTATCCTCTGCTTATCTGTCCCAAAGAATTAACACCTGAAAGACAGAGCCTGATCTCTGGTTTCAAGTACCTGTGGAGAAGGTTCTTCTTCTGATCCCATCTGTTCATACAGCAACTGGACTTTGTTCAGTTCCAGGATTCCTTTGGTTCGTGCTAGATTCTGGAGGTGCTGTCTAAATGCTACAATTCCTGCAAAAGAGTTGAGCAAAACTCTTGTCAGAAAATCAGGTGAGCACAGCAAATGTGAGGTAAGCTGAGTCACAACCAAGCCACCTTGTGCTTCTGTGTATGGAATACATTTCCTACCATGTCTAGATATAACGTATCATAGCAATGGTTGTAATTACCTTGTGTGAGGGATGTGTCAGAAGCTCTGCGCCCCTCTCGGAAGCTGACAGGAGAGCGGTTGTGGGTCTCTCGCTTCTGGGAGGCGAGTGCTTGCATGGCTGGATTGGCAGGTCTCAGACCTATGAACGGTGTTGTCATTCTGGATGCTTGTTGGTTAGTTAGCACCATTTCTTTCAAGGAAGGGGTGTCTTCCAGGAATTTAATCTCTCTCTGAATCGATCCCATGTCATACTCAGAATCAACGCTGCCCAGAGAGGAATTTTCATCCAATGAGTAGACTTTCCCTGTGCCAAAAACCAAAAGCCAGAATAAATGGAAAGTGTAGCAGTAATTTAGCAGAGAAAGTGCCACAGGCTCAAACTATTCCTGCCAACAGTGACTGTCTTAGAGGAAACAAAACAAAAAAAACCCAAACCTAGTTTCATAAAGTAATTGTAATGTAACTCTTGCAGTACCAGAATAGGGATTTGCTACTGGTTTTTACATTATTGCAGCAATAAGACACTATATATATGATGTTCGCTGAAAGGCTTCATCATCTTCCTGATTTTGAAATGCAAGAGAAACCAAAGGTTTTTGTTTCCCCACTGTCCTCCTCTGCCAGCATGTCTTTAGGGGATGAATGATTTGGGAATATTTAGTTATGTGAAAAAGAACAAGTCAAAATGTCAGACGTCACAGTTGCTACTGGCGTTGTACATGACTGTAGCCACCTATATATT